AATCTAGAAAAATGTTCTACTTTTCTGGGAAATTAAAATTTCTAGGTGGCTTGTAGGTGGGCCGCGACTACCTGGCGCTTCTGCTGGGGGAGGGCGCGGCGCACCGCTACCACCACCTGGCCAACGGCGTGCAGTCCTGGACGCACCGGGACGCGCGCCTGTTCGAGCCGCTGCTGCGCCTGGCCGTGCGCGTCGCCTGGGTCGCCCTGCAGCGCCGCTACCTCAACCTCATCGACGCCGAGGTGAGCCGCCTGTTCCGGGGCGAGCCCTTCAGCGCGGCGGCGCGGCGGCAGCAGCGGCCCGGGTCGGCCGACCTCCGCGCCCGCGACCGGGTCCGCGACCGGGGCCTGCGCGAGGAGGTGCTGCACGGGCCGCCGGGGCCCCGGGACCACACCCTGTTCACGCGCTCCCCCGCCGTCCTGGAGCTGCTCGGCCGCCCCGGTCACGAGCCACCCTGGACGCTGCTCGCGCTCGGCCGCCTCCCACAGCCCGGGTGAGTCCCGGCGGGCCCCGGTGGTGCTGGTGCCCCGGACCTAAGGGCTTAGGTCCTACTATCATACTACATACTACATACCGCTGCGGCCCGAAGGCTCCCGGAGGCGCTCCGCCGGCTGGAGGCTGTCTACACCCTCGGCGAGGAGGAGCTGGCGCATCAGTTCGGACACTTCGTCGGCATCCTGGGCATGCCGCGGGCCCAGTTCGACGTCATGCTCAACCTCCGGGACAAGCAGCGCAGACAAGAGCTGCTCATCTCCTCCTCGGGTAACTGATCCAGCTACATTCCCGATCACTATTTTTTGCATTGTGATGTTTTTGCTGTCGATTCATCCCTGCTTGATTTTGGCTCTTTCTTTAGTGGGTCAACAAATCTCATCCATATTTCCGGATGGGGACGATCTAGAACCCTCCAGTACCGCCAACCCAGCGAGCTTTCCCGTGCTCCCAGACTAGAGAAACTTGTGGTTTAATAAAAAAAAAATCAAATGCGAAAGGTAACAGTCTTTATTGTGAGCAGTGATAGTCAGTTAAACAAATGTCAGTTCACAGAAGAAAGCTGAGGTCAGCGCCAACGTCATACTCAACAGGCTCCTTACCCCTGTGAATAAAGAAGCAATACGATATTTAAAAACCGATTGCAACCAAAGGGTTTAATTTCATCTACAGAATTTATCATGTACCTGACAAATAAGCGAGCACTGTAATGTCCTTTAAGAGTGGCTTGATTCCCGTCCACTGCCAGGAGGCTCCCTTCCCTCAGTCCAAGAACAGGTGGCGAATCTTCAATCTCATGATACTCTTTGATTCGCTTCTCTCTGGTTTCCTGAAATATTGAAGCGATTTAATACTTGGTACTCTTACGACAAGCTACTCTCAATATATTTTCCTTTTTTTCTGTCATTGTACTTACACCCATATGTTTAGAGTTGTGGTCAGGGTCAAGATAATGTGGGTTTATGTTGAAAGGAACCAGATTCAAAGCCATGAACGAAGGTGGATAAACAATTGGCATATCATTTGTTGTATTAATACTGACAGTAGACACATTTGTTCCTGCACTGCTACCTATGTACGGAAGACCGTTCTAAAAATTTGGAAATGTTGTTAGTATTTTTTTTTCTCACGTGGATGAGCCATAGAAATTTAAAACAAGGTATTGCACTTACTTCCAAAACTTGTTTCTGGATGGGAGCTATCAATCCATTTGAATAGAGTGTCTTCAGAAGCAGAAAAGTATTACCACCCCCAATAAAAATTGACTCTGCCTGTGCTACAGCTTGAACAGGGTCAGGTGAACTGTGTATCCCTTCGACTTGGAAACCTTTAAGAATTAACAGAAATAAGAGCAATTAAAAATATAACATTCTGCCATAACACCATATTATGTTCATGGAACATTTAACTCACCCCATGGCTCCAAAGCCTTCTTTACCTCATTAGTATACTCATCATGAGTAAATGAAGCATAGGGGACAAATAGAACTTTTTTTACATTCTTTCTAAAAATGACAAAAGTTGGAGGAAAAGAGTTAATGGGAAAGTGTGTTACTTTGTGTCATAGAATAACTAAGTTGTGTCTTACCTGTTTAGGAAGTCTAGTATTTCTGATTTAGCCCACTCAAGATACTTTCCATTATGAAGCGTTGAGTTTGACAATAATAAGAGTCGCCTTGTCATTGTGCCCAAGCTTGATGGAGATGGTGGTACAAATTCAGTAAGTTGTTTGAAGTATGAAGTCCTTCACACAAGTCAGAACTACTGTTGCAACTCAAGAGTGCTTGACTGAACACTTGACTTGACCAGCTCATCAGCTGACAGATCAAAGGTTAAAATGCAATTTCTCTCCTGTCAGTACTCCCTGTGTATATTGTGACTGACTGTAAATAGCCACTCAGGCCGGTAGTGGCAACCTTTAGTGTAAAAAATGTCAATAATGTCTTTACAGAAAATTGTATAGAGTCTGCCAAAACTGGCAGACGAATCATTTGAAATTATGACAAGCTCAATATAAAAATAGCTTTTATTAAACAAACCTCAACACACACACAAAAAAAAAATTAGACAAGAATAGTCGAGAATTGAGGGACAGGAGCAAATCTCTGTTTTCGTATAGCTGTATTTTTGTTTGTCTATATTTTTACTGTTGTTGAAGTGATATGAATTAACAATTTGTTAGAGGCATCACTCTGGCAATTCTTCCTTTCAAAAATGGACAATATTACACATACACCAAACACCATATAAAATTTTGTTAACACCTAACTTTCCAACTATGAAGCCATATGTCTCATGAGATTACTTGAAAATTTCTCTATTTTCTTAATGTCTTGTAATAAATCGGTTTTGAACTGCAAGCACTAAAAAAAAAAAAAAAGTAAAATGTAAATAAGACGCAAGATAAATTGTATTTTAAATAATAGCAGATTTTGTCAAGAAACATGTGTAACTTACCACAACATCATCTGTCATTTTCAAATTAACGATTTGTTTACTGTGGACATACTTCATAGTAAAACGACTCTGAAAATAAGAGACCATAAGCTTTTATTTAAAATGTTCTCTGCAGTGTTTTTGAGGTTAGTGTTCTGCCTGGACAATATGTTTCGGCGTACCTTCATGGGATCCTGTAGATACAGCCGCTCGGCAGCGCGTTCGAACTCCTCCCATGACTTGAGGTATGTCATGTCGCAGTAAGGTACTGAATTTTCTTTTAAATATGAACGAAAACTCGTGTGACAACGGCTGTCAGGTTGTTGATGTAGTCACTCTGCTTGCTTCCACGCACCTGGCTTGCGTTGGTAGTGTGAATAACTGCTGTAGGAATATTGACACGATCACTCCACCAGTGTGGACGGGAATTCCCAGACAAACCGCTTGTAATGTCAAAAAACGGTCGTCGGAAAGACAGAAAGACAGAGATAAGTGGTAAAAATAATGTTTCTTTTTATTATGCACATACAAACAAATAGCTAAAACAAAATTAATATTAACGGTTTAAGAAATCTTCACACAGATAAGAAAGTAAGAAACCATGTTGAACTTTTCTGTGGCTACTTGGAATAAGCAGGGATGTTTCTGACAAATGCTTTAAGCCTTCCACCAACACAGGAAGAGCAATCTCAATGCATATAACAATAGGATCATTTGACCACTTTGAGACCATCAAATTATTACTTTTTTCTAAACAAAATGAAACCTTAATGGCTTGGTGACTTTGAAGTTCCACAGCTGCATTTGAGCTAGAAGTTAGAAGCACTAACTTACGGTCAATTACATTTAATAGGAGGAAGTGTGTCACACCAGTTTTCACCTTCACCTCAAGCAGCAACCTGCATGCAACTGTGGCACATTGTTGAATTGCTTCTACAATAACATGAATAAATTCTTGAGCTGGTGATAACTTTTCTATCTGGGTTCCACAGTCAACTGTGTATCTAATATCTACAGTAGAATGCCATAAATATGCCCTAGAATTATTTTTAGTGCCTAGCCATGCCAAGCATTTTTTACAGTGTAAAATGTCATCATCAGCTTCAACAAGAGAAGGGTGAAGGTGAAAACCAGAAGAAGAATACAGGCAATCAGTTTCATTAGGATTAGCATTGACACTAGACCCGCCATGATTATGACAGAAGAAATCACTTGCATCAAACAGACTTGAGGGTAGGGGTAGCACTCTTTTAAAGGTGACACTTTCTCTTGATAAAATGTTCTGACCACAACAAGTGCACGAAATAATACAGGGAGTGTTTGCTAGAATACAGAATCCTTTATCACTAGATATGGGATCACTTTGGTGAGATTCAATAATTTCCACAGCAAAAGAGCCAGTCAAGTTCTGTGGCATTGTCTGTACACGAAATGATAGGTATTTTTCTTCTTGAATTAGAGATGACACTTCAGATGGTTTAAATTTGATAGGGATTGTGCTTGGAAGGATGACTGTTTGAGACAGTATGTCATGAGATTGCACACTCCACGTAACAGTCAGACTGTCTGCTTGCACAATGAGTCTGGCACTAGCATGGGATGAGGGGGCCGGCAAGTATGCCCAGCAAGCCTGCACAAGCGGCCGAACTTCAACAAGCATGGTAGCTTTCATATTCAATTAGTCTACAATACCTGTTTCAAACAAAAATAGACAGATAATTTAAGTTCAAAATCAAATCTTGTCGCAGCATTATGTTTGGAAAATTGAAGAGTTGCTTTAAAAATATAGGCTCAGATACACACCTTTTTCTTTCAGAACAGAAAAGAGTTTATCTGATTCCTTCAGAGTAAATGGCAAAGTAGCAACTTGATAGTAATTAGAGAGCAGTTCAATATTGTTAATGACTGATGTTAAGAGATGAGCTCTTTCTGTGTGTATACCTGAAAAGACAAATAATTTCACATAAGCTCTGTAAGTTTAACAGGAGAAAAGAGACAATGACTGAGTGCCTCGTTACCTGGGGCATCATACTGCAAATAAGTAAAATGGATATGAAGGTGGTAAAATGTTGGCTGATAGTGAAGGAAAGCCCTGATTCTGGAGGAGGGGAGATCATAACGCTCCTTAATCACACTCTGGAATAAATGAAAAAAAGTTTTAAAAATAAAACACAATTAGGACTAGATATTATATGTTTCAAAAATGCATTTGAGCTTACTGTGCATTTGTTGTAAAGATTTTTCAGCAGGGGTAAATGGTCACTAGTCAAATCTCTAAGTGATTTAATGTTAGTAAGACGTACTATAGCTAAAAGGTATAGACTTTTCAAGTCTTTGCCATCCCACTTAAGATCTGGCAAAAGCACAAACCCCAATGAAGGATCAGTGTCTTCAGAGACAATGCGGTCAACTTCTGATTTGTGGTCAAGTATGTTGTACACCCACTAAAACACAATAGAAAAAAAATTATAAAAGGATCAAAGAGGTGCTATTAGAGACAGACAATATCACATGTCATTGGTCGAGAAAAACTCCTGACAATCAAGATAAAATATTTACGAACTTGCAAGTTGAGCTGCTCCTTTTCCAAGAAGGGTTGTATCACAGAGGTATAGAGTGCAGGGGTCTCCTCCACAATGTGGATAGTTTGAGTTTCAAACTTCTGAATGTGTTTGTCAGATGCAGGATATATCACAGTCGCCTTGACAGCTGGTGGGAAGAGACATAACAAAAAATTAGAACTAGTTGCAATTACAGTGAGAACACTGATGATGGTTCCCTTGCGTAGAACCAAACTAGGAACGGTACACTCTACTCTGCAACACGAGAGCGCGTGCTTTCGGTTTCACTCTGATAATAATAATAATGATGATCCAGAACTATGAGGCATAGAGGACCCTAACCTCTCCCGCAGCAATCCTCACCGTTAACGTCGCTGGCCAAGGTGCATTCGTAGTTTCCGTAAACATCATTGCGAAACACCTTTTTCAATGTGGTGCTCGCCGTACACAACTTGTCAAAAGTCTCTGCTTCAAACGGCTTCTTTTCTAGGATGAGGAGACACCGGTCGTCCGTGGCGCCCAAAGAGCCGAGCGCGACGAGGGTCTTGTTCCGGCTTTCGCAGCTCAGGATGCGTTGCGTTTGGAAGGAAGCCAAATCCGTCAGGTCGGCGCTATCTTCAACGCGACACTGCTTTTTGACAGGGGGTTCGAGGTCTTTGCTATCACCGCTGATTTTTTCTTTAATAGTATCCGCCATTCTTTCTCAGTCAATTTCAAAATTCTGAGAGCAATACTCAAATGAAATAGTAAACAAAACCGCAACATAAACAAACAAACAATAAACAAAACACTGCCCAG